GAATTATTAATTTTAATTAATTTTAAATAAAAGATCTAATTTTGAAATTTTGAATTTCAAAATTCAAAAAATTTCAAATTTCAAAAATCAGGACAACTCTTAACTTCTCCCGTTTTTCTTACTCCATCAAGTTTCACTTCCTTTTTTTCCATAATCATCTTCCTTCTTCTTAACCCAACAAAATTTATTGGTTTCTTCTTTTTATTCTTAATCCATCATCTTTTTCTTCTTAATCTGTAATCGTCTTAACCCAACATCTTTTTATTATTAATCCATCATCAGTTCGTCTTTCCTTCTCTTTTTTTTTTGTTAATTGTTCGATTACATTATAGTAATGGATCCGTTAATTAATAGAAGGATATATGATTTCAACGATGAAAATTGGAAAGAAAATAGGAAAAAGTCTTTGCATGATCCTATGAATCTTCAGAAGGATTCAAACAAAGACTCTGGCGAAACATCAAAATCAAAGGTTGTCAAAATACAACAAAAAAAGAAGCAACAAACATTGTTGTTAGGTTTACATTGTCTCGGGTTAGTATTTTGGTACTTAAAACTATTGTTGAAATTAGTAAAAATTTTAAGGAATCTAGTGTGCTTGCCGATACATTTGAATAAGTGTGTATAGTGTCTTAGATGATGAATTGATACATGAATTTGTTGTGTATCATAATATTTTATATGTATCATGAAGTTTTGAAAATTGTTATAATGTATCATTCAATAAGTTTAGTAAATGCGTCATCAACTGTGCTTGATGATACATATAGAATCAGTGTGTACAGTGTTTAGTCAATTCACTGATACATGTAGTAGATATGTATCACATGTTTTGCAGATAGTATGAATTTATGAAAACTGATATCATGTATCAGTAAGGTATTAGTTGTTTAGTTGATGTACTGATACATGTTTTGAAAATTGTTATAATGTATCATTCACTAAGTTTAATAAATGCGTCATCAACTGTTTTTGATGATACATATAGAATCAGTGTGTGTATTGTTTAGTCATCAGTATGTATATAGTTTCAACCATTGCCAAAGCCTGTGTATCATGTGTTGTGCCTTCTACACACGTTATTTCTCCACTTGTTCCATCAAAGTTATGTACAGTACCACTATTCTTTTCAATTGTGTCAATACATAATGGATACACTGAAAATCCAGGCTCGTTTTCAGTTCAAAATATAGTTTAACACTCATATCGTTCTTAAGTTTCATCGGATAGGAGTTACCTTCTACAATGTATCGAATTTCAATTTCTTTCCTTGATACATCAATATCCAACTCGGCTGCAATTGCTGCTTTGAGATTAGAAAACGAAATTGAATCTCCAACAACGATTCCGTCGATTTTGTGACTTTCATACTGCAATTCGTTCACCCAAATTCCGGAATGTCTCATCAAAATCGAAGTATTCATCTTGAAAAATCCACTGTAACAATAATAAAATTATTGTAGTTCGAAATTTAACAGATTGTTCAAAAAAATTATTTTCAAAATAGATGACATAATCTTTATTTTTCAAAATTTGAAATTAATATCCAATTGAGTGCTGATTTTATGCTGATTAATGATATGTTACCGTAAATTTAGCTGTTTTATTAACAACATTAACTGTATCATTTTTTCCCTTTCTTTTTTCTCAATAGTTTAAAATTACAATGTATCATTTACCATGTATTACTAGAGTCTAAAGTATCACGGCTCAATAAATTTAAGGGATTTTTTGTAAATACTAAATTTTTCGGGACAGAATGTAATTATTGAATTACACTATGGATTCCTTAAATTTTTCCCAGTTTTAAGTACCAAAATACTAACCCGAGACAATGTAGGCCTAACAACAATGTTTGCTGCTTCTTTTTTTTTTGTTGTACTTTGACAACCTTTGATTTTGATGTTTCGCCAGAGTCCTTGTTTGAATCCTTCTGAAGATTCATAGGATCATGCAAAGACTTTTTCCTATTTTCTTTCCAATTTTTCATCGTCGGAATCATATATCCTTCTATTAATTAATGGATCCATTACTATAATGTAATAGAACAATTAACAAAAACAAAAAAGAGAAGAAAAGACGAACTGATGATGGATTAATAATAGGGAAAAAGGTCTGATATACCCCTCAACTTTATCATTTAGAGCTGATATACCCCTCGTTATAAAAGTGGCTCATATATACCCTTATTTGTAAACAAATGGCTCACATATACCCTTTTCCTCTAACGGAAATGAAAAAAATAATAATTTTAATCTAAATTTTTATTATTTTTTTCTAAAAAATATAATCCCATATGGGTAAATTTAATACTCGTCAAACATATTTTTTTAACTTTTTTGTTTCAATGACTAATTTATAATTATTATTTTGATAATCAAATTTATTAATGTTTCACTAGTATTCTTGTAAGACTTTATTTAGATGGCCAAATTTTTTCTTCGAATACGAAATTAAATTACAATACACACCCAAAAAAATAGTTTAAATTTTTTTTCTTTAAACTAAGGAATTAAAGAAAAAAAACAAAATAAGAATAAGAAACTCAAATAATTATAATAAAAGAAGTCAAAAAATAATTTATGTATGAAAAAAATTAAAATATACCTTTAACATTGATAGAAGAATCATATATACCACTAAATAATTTTTAAAAAAAATTAGAAGTAACAAATATAAATTTAAAACTAATTTTTTAACTTCCGTTAAATGAAGAGTATATATGTGCCATTTTGTAATGGCAGGGGTATATGTGAGTCGTTTGTATAACGGTAAGGGCATATATGAGTCACTTTTATAACGAGGGGTATATCAGCTCTAAATGACAAAGTTGAGGGGTATATCAGACCTTTTTCCCTTAATAATAAAAAGATGCTGGGTTAAGACGATTACAGATTAAGAAGAAAAAGATGATGGATTAAGAATAAAAAGAAGAAACCAATAAAT